TTATATAAAGTATTTATAAGACCACATCTTGAATATGGAGTGTCCATTTGGGCTCCTTTTTTAAAAGCTGATATGGCTTTGGTTGAATCTGTTCAACGCAAAGCTACAAAATGGGCTTACAGCTTGAGGCATCTTCAATACTGCGAAAGGCTAAAAAGATTAAACCTACCATCTCTTGAGTTTCGACGCCTTCGATGCGATTTAATCCAAATTTTTAAATTAATACATCGTTTTGATATAGTTAATGATAAATATCTACCAAAATATATTAACTCCGTGTCTCGTGGTCACCATTCTAAAATAAGGCGTGAGTATGTTCTAAACTGTCTTCCAAGATATAATCATTTGTATAATAGATCAGCAAAATACTGGAACAATCTACCAGAGCAAATAACTTTGTACTCCACTGTACTTTCTTTCAAAAATAAACTAGACTCCTGGTTGTGGAAAAAGTTTGGAACAAATATTTATAAAACTGGTTGTTTATAGTGGGGTGTTTCCCCTGCTCGCTGTATGTGTACATTCTATGTAAATTTACGGCTACAACTATAATAATAATAATAATAATTATTATTATAATTTAGTTTTAATAATTAAAATTAGTTTCTTACTATTTCCTAATAAACGCTTCAGTAATTGTCACAATATAAAAGATTGATTAAACTTACTTTAAACTTATAAATTAATAATGAAAATATTGCATTGCATTGGTACTAAATTTTATAGCTTTGTTATTACTTTATGTTTTATGTGACACAATTTAAACGCAGGTATTAATTGTAGTTTTATAAATTCTAAATCCCGGGATATTTTTAAAATAGTCCCGGGAATTTGGGGTTAAAGAATTTGGTGGGATCTCGGGATTTTGGGATCTCGGGTTCCGGGATTGCAAACCCTACTCAGCGCCAATCAATGCAAATAATTAATTTTCAATTCCATAATACAGAAACTTCAAAATTCTTCGAAAAACTCGAATTCCTACCTTGTCAGTACTTATTAAATTTGCTAATCTTCTTTTTGTTTTTGACTCCCTTAATAAAAGTTTACCTTCCTCTATTACAACCTTCTTCACTGAAACTTGATTTATACATTCATATTTAACTAGAAACATCAATAATGGAAAACTAAATGTACCTCCATATAAAACTTTGAGGTATGGTAAGTATTCAATTACACATCAGTGCATCAGTGAATGGAATCGAAGTCTTGTGTGCATTTTGAATGAGTTTGAAAAGTTAAATCTTTAAAATAATTGATCTTCATTTTTTTTTTAAACAAAATAAATTTAAACAAATTCTAAAAAAAAAATTACTTAATTTTTTTATCATTATTTACTTCCTTTAGTTTTCTTCTTTATTATTATTATTTTTTTTTTTTATCATTTCCATAGAAACTTTATTGTTTTTGTCATTAATATTTATTACTTTAATTACTGCTGTTTTTATTATTACTATTATTATAAATACTATTATTTTTGATGTTACTTCATGGCCGTAGACAATTTATTTAATCTGTGGGAGGGGGGGGAAGGGGTTATGAAGAGTAAGGAACGCAAATAACATGTCTCTTAACAATAAAACTCTTCAGAATTGTACTATTACATTAACTTTTTATTACAATTACTTAAACGTGTTTGTAATGATATAAAGTAAAATACAGCCTTAAAATATAGTATTTCCGAATGCGGAAATATTATATTCTAAAATACAGTTTTTCTACCTTCACTTTGGCTACAAAAATCATTGGCTATATCTATGATGTTCAGTTCATCAGTTTTTTGTGTGTAAATATACAACAACATAAGCCTGTTTAACCGTGCTAGGTTTATGGAGATTCTTCCCCAAGTTTTGATTCTTCTTGGTGTGGTGAAAGCTCTCTCGCTAGTAGCGTTTGTTGCTGGTATCAGAAGGATTTTACTTCATATCATTACAAACATTTTTAAGTAATTGTAATAAAAAGTTAGTGAAATACATATAGTAGAGGCATTACTACAGAATTCTGAAGAGTTTTATTGTTAACATGTTATTTGCGCCCTTACTCTTCATAGCCTCCCCCCTCCAGATTAAATAAGTTGTCATTGGGCCATGAATATAGGGTAAAGTATACGAATACCGGATGTCCCAGGGAGAATATTTTGTTTTACTTTTTTGAAAAGCCATTCAAGTTTTGGAGATTTTTTTACCAACTGTAATTTCATAAACAGTGTTCAGAGCATTTTTCATGATGCTGATAGCTTTAAGCGATCTTGTACTGCTAAGTTCAAAGCGTGACCATAACAATGGGAATATAGTGCTTTAAGTTCAAGGTCATTTATTTCTTCGCAACTCCAGATTTGCAACTTGTCATGGCGCTGGCATCGTCATAATATTGACCGTGACAATTATTAATTGAAAGATTCATTCGCATAAGAACATCTTTGATAGTTTTAGTAATACATTCAGCAGAAGTGTTTTCCATACTGTAAAGTCCGACAAACACTTTATGCAAGTCAATTTCATCT